ATTCACTAAATTATCTCCGTTTCTACTCTCCAAGATGAAGTATTCCTTTTTTATCCTTATTTTTGATACTACCTTTGGCTTTTCTCTTTCATAGTGAAATTTGCTTCAGCGATCTTTGCATTCCATTTCTATCTGGTAAAAGGGAGAACCGTGTGTGTCAGTGGACCTCTGCTCAATGTGGTGACTGGTGGACTAGGATTTAGCATCACTAGGCAGAAGCAGGCCACATGGGGAGGTGCCCTAAAACATCAGTATGCAGCCACTTTTCTCTGGGGACACTAAGCTGCTTCACAAGAGGCGCTCTGCGTTCTGCATGTTAGGAGTGTACGTCTAGACCAATGCGCTCACACTCCGGGCAGCCTTGAGGTCCTGTTCTGTGCATAGGCTTCTAACCAAGCCCTAGTCACTCCACAGGGCTTCATCCACTGTCGTGCATAGTTACATCTTAACTTAGAGTTCTTCCAGAGCTCTGCTTTACTTCACTTCAATAAATCAGTTCTTACTCTCTCACTTTACACGCAACTTTCCAAGGATCTGTTACTGTCTCTTGTCTGATATCTCTTCCCAGCCCTCCCAGTAGGTGTGGTTTTATATTTATTTTACTAATTTACTCTCATTTTAGTGGACCTTCCAGAGAAAACAGCTATGAAACACGCGTAGTATCCTCCAAAGCCCACAGTTTGAGATTTTATTTTCATCTTGTCCTGTCTTCTCACTTCTATTCCCTTTCCCCCTAACGTTGTACCTAATTCTTGACCACAATACTAACCATGAATAAATTTTATTTGTTCATGTTATTGTAAAGATTCTATGTTATTGTAAAGATCCCTTGATGACTCATTCCACCTTTAAAAATAAACTAAACTGCAACTAAATTTCAATAGGTTCACTTCAAATGCATTTTACTGTGGCTGTGAGTCTCATTGCTAATCTCTCCATGTCATAGCAGTGTAGACAAAGTACAGGATCGTCACACTGTTGGGTTAGCTTTGTGCATTTCATAGTTTATTTTTCAAATCTCAAAATCTGCTTCCTGTCAATTACTTAAATAGATTGACCCTGGGGGATGGAGAAGAAGGAATGCTGAGACCATTATCTTTTCAGAAGAGTTGTAGAGCATCCTTTATATTCTTTTTTAAAATTTCATTTCCAGTACTCTTTGGATAGGTAAATGGTCATTATTTTGACATGCACTTCAACAATTTCTAGCAATCTATTCTAGTTCTTCCTTGTCTGCAAACCACCCCCACAGTCCTACCTGGCCACCAGAACAAAACTTTAAGACATGAGAAGTCTAAGGCTATCTCATTTTCCACAAGATGCTCATAGTAGTTCTTGGATATTTGCAAATAGCAGTAAAAATAATCCTCTTTTGACATTTGTCCCTTCTCCAGGGCAGTAAACCATTGGAAATTGTACTCAACATGGCTCAGCCAGTTCAGAATAAAGAGGCTTATGATTTCACTTGTTATAGGTCATTGTTAACTCAGACCAAATCGAATTGGGCTTTTCAGTGTCTACCACCTAGAAGTTTACACATACTCCAAAATGGCATTTCTAATGTGCAATTGTTGATAAGCTTCCATATCTCCTAACTGTGGTACCTGTGTATGAGAATTTATATTCAATTTAGCAAATATTAATCTTTTAATTTCAGCTTGTCTTTTAAACTTCAAAAATCTTTATGAATCCTAATTCAGAGAACACTCTTCTCGCAACCAAAATTCATTAATACTAAATTATAAATTTGAATATTCTACCTTATATGTCTTCATTTGAGTCACTGATGGCAGGGTTTGGGTAGAAAAGGTCAAAAAGAAAGCCGTGTGAATTATCCTAAGGGACCTTTATTCAGGTGAATGTCAATCCTTCGGTGAATTCTGTTTGACTTCAGCTGGTCAACTGCTTGCATCAGTCTAATTGTACTATTTTTAAACTGCTTCCTTTTCATCATGGGTGCATAATAAAAAAGTTAGTCAAATGTTTTGATAAAATCATTTCCTGGTCTGCCAGTTCATTTAACTTTTTATTAAAGCTCAGGAGATTAGTTTAGCATAATTTCTTCTTTGTGAATTCAGCCCGTATATATCAGTTATTGCTGCTAATTGTTCTTAAAATATCCATCTAATAATGCATTCTAGAGATCTTTCAGTTTACTGTGTCAGGGTCAAGACATCTTCCTTCTTTTCTCCTCTCTGAAAGTAGCCAAAAACAATAAGGCAAATTAGTTATCGAAACTAAAATTGTCATTTTGCTCCCTTTTATTTCAGTGCTGGGAGGGAGGGAATCCAACCCAAAGCCTTGCATTTGCTGAACAGTGGTCTACCACTGGGCTATATCTGCAACATAAACTTGATCTTTAATGTACCTGGGAAGCTTTCATAACCTTGATTCTTAAAAGTAACAAATTTATTCCATACATAATGAAATTAAGATCAGGATGAAGAAACTACTAAGAATATCTGCTACTCTGGGTTTCAGACCAAGAATAAAATTTCAGAAACTGGATGTCATGGCTTGTGAGAAAAACATTTTCTTGACTTTTACATAAAATCAGTTTCAGTCTGTTTTGTAGCGAGAACATCCTGGATTTCTGTTTGAATAACACACAGTAGCAGAGGAGGTAGAAACTGGAAAATTAAGCAATGTAACATGAGAGGCACACACATATGCACATCTGTACCAGACACAGAGTGCTTTCCAGGAACAAGGAAAGTTCTTGTTGGGTAGAAGCAGAATCGTGATAGAGAAGAGAACTCAAAACCATTTATACAAACGAAGGTGATGACCAAATCACGAACTCTGTATTTCTCACTAGTATCCTGCTCACTCTCTGTCACACCCAAAGGGGTGTTTCCACACAGAACAGGGCTAGTGAACAACCGTGCAGTGTAACTTCAGGTAGTAACTGAAAACAGACTATGTGATGCTAATGCAAAACAGGTGCAAATGGGACAAAAATGATTATGGGAGACTACACAAAAAGAAGCATGGGTGTATGAAAATTAAGTCATGAAGGATAAAATAAATGTAAGACAAAACAATTGTACCATATAAATAAAGGTGAATAAACACTGCTGAAAATACAGGATATGCTTAATTTGGGGGGGGATCAGGTGTAAAATAAAGAGTTAATAAATTACTTGAGAAGAAATGGTAGGCACAGAAGAGCAAAGCAAGCTGCATCATATGCACATTCCCTGCTTCTGGGAAGAGAACTGAAGACAAATGTTTCCAAGAAAGCATTCCTGAAATATAGAAGGCAATTCATCTGTAGACTTAAAGGGCAACATTGTGTCCTAGGGAAAAAAAAATAGTGCATGATGATCACGATATGTCCTTGTAAAGTAACTGGACTTCACAAATAAAAGATACATTTATATGGACTCCTGGACCATGGTATCAAGTCTTCCATGCTGTGAGAAATTCTCATGCTGGCTCTAAATATCTGGATAACAATATTAAATGCCAGAATTAACTATAGAAATCATATAGGATCATCAGAGAAAAAGAATCTGACCCACAAATTGCACAATAGCCAAACTATTAATTCAATAATAAACATAGCAGACACACAGTTTACACATGCAAGAAAGGAAATATGGTTTCCACGAGACCTTCTCAAAGAAACTTCTAGAAATGAGCCTTGAGATAACTAAGCAATGATAGGATAAAGGAAAAGAATTTATTTAAGAATAGAATAATAACCAAGCAACTATAGGAATTTTAGTTGCATAAAGTGCTATAAATATACTAAAGCTTTATAAAGCATAAAGAGTAATAGAACAAAGTCGGGGGAGGGGGTAAAAAGAGACTGCTAGAGAGATAAGGTAGTATTTGTACAGATACACTGATTTCCTTATATCTTGTAGTAGATGCATGATTTTTTTCATAACTAATAAGTCAGTGTATAGAGAGGTACATATGTACTAGAAACACAAAAATAATAAAAGGTAAAGTGTATGGAGGAAACGGAGATACATATTTTTGTTCTTTATTTATAGATAAGTTAGTAGGGTCTATTCAGGTAATTCAAATCTGTTCCAAGTTGTACCAACTTGCCATTCTGTACTCTATGGAATGAATCTTTTCCCAAAGTTTCAAAAATATTCATTAGCATTTCTCCACAATTCTTTGGTGGGTACTAGAACAGTTCTGGAATCAAGTCTGCCAGTTCTTAGCACAGCAGATAATCTTAATCTATGTCTAGATACCTGAACTCATTTAAAGTGTCCCGGGAGGACAATCTTGATTTCATAGTATTGGCAGTTTGTTCCTACCAATCTCTTCAGTTTATTTCCCTTCTCTTCTTTCCCATCCATGCACTAATCCAACCAATGTTCACTCGATTTTCACCCAGTCAGATGCTGTTCAGGGATGTAGGAAAGGCCCTGCACTCAAAATGCTCACAGTCTGTAAGGAGGCAGACCAAATAACTTTAATACAAATACATGTCTTAACATCAGGAGTATCTGCCGGCATGACAACTAAATTTATCTGGATAGTTCTGGAAATGTTTTGTGGGGAAGGAAGCATTTCATTAGGTCTTCAAGAATGAGTTTTCACTAGGGAAAGGAAGAAAGCATTTCATGCAAAGAATTTGAAACAAGAAAGGATCCAGATGCAATGATGACCAGGTTGCTTTGAGTGTGATGTGATGTGAATGTACTGGAAAGCAAAGGGCAGGGGTTGTCCTCTGGATTGAAGTGAGGTCCAAGCTTCTGGGTTACACTGTCTAAGTAACAACGATTTTGGCCTTGAATCTAGCAGCATCCCACTTAGGTTTGATCCCAGACCTCAAGACATGAAACCCCTAGTGAAGCTTGACCTTGCCTTCAATCCAGGTTGCCAAGAAACACTCCCGTTGAGAACCTGGATTGCCAACCCCAGTGAATAGCACACAGCCCTGCCCAGTTGCGCAGGCCATGAGCTGCCCACTCCTGGTCCCAATACAGCTCTCTCAGGGTGTGCTTCCCAGCCCCTCCTCTGTGAGCTCTCACCTTCGTCTCCACGGCCTCTGGAGTCTTCTTGCCTTCCCAAGCCCAACTCCTCTTAGTGAAATAGTTGACAGTGGCGAACTCAATCAGAGCAGAAAACACGAAGGCATAACAGACGGCTATGAACCAGTCCATGGCCGTCGCGTACGCCACTTTAGGTAGAGAGTTTCTGGCACTGATACTCAAGGTGGTCATGGTCAGTACCGTGGTGACACCTGGGGAGAGAGAAGATGACAGCAGTTGCAAAGGGAGGACACTGAGCATGTGATTATCACGATCATCTACTTGGAAGAAGGAAATTTATTCCACTCATAGCTCCTCTAAAGTAAAATACAGAGAATGTCCATGCTGAATGAGTCCACCCACCAACCACCCCAGAAAGAACCTTTTCAAGGGAGCTTTCCTGAAACACAAAGGACAATCAGATTATGATTTAAAGGGAAATATGGTGTCCTAGGAAAAATTAATACACGTTGATCAGGATATATTCTTGGAAAATAACTGGACTTCGTGAATAAAAGACATATTTATACAGGATTCCAGACCATGGCATCAGGTCTCCTTTCTCATGCTGGCTCAGGAAGAGGAACCGAAATCGAGAGGGGAATAGGAATCTTCAGGGACACATTTTAAGCAGTTTTTCTGTGGCCTCTGCTTAAACATTTTAATGAAGAAGTATGTAAGACTTTCATTGTCAACAGCTTTTAAATTAGAAAAACCTTTTTTCGCAGTTGAAATCTGCCTTCTCTAACTACACGATCTCAAAATGCCTTCTGTGACACACAGTGAGAAAAACCTGCTCCCTCCTCTCCAGGATTTGAGAAGGTGGCTGTGAACATGGAGGTCAGTGCTCCCCTCATGAGCTCCTCTTTTGTTTTCTTCAGGTGGTATCTTAGTATGTAGCCCAGGCTGGCCTGAACTCCTGCCTCACCTCCTAAGTGTGTTGGGATTAAATGTGTGTGCCACTGTGGCCAATACCAACTTCTCGCATTCACCCCCTTTCCAGCCTGGTAGCTCTCTTTGGAAGAGCCCGGAACTGAGCCCAAGACTCAGGATATGGTCTGAAGTCCGCAGAATTCTAATGCTTTCATTCTGGATTGTCTTCTGATAATGCAATGGACTAAAAGGGAAAGCACTTTGAATACTTGCCTTGCACCCTTGGGCTCTCTACTGAGCTTCCTCCACAAAGTATTCCAAATTGTATGTCACCTAAGGTTTTGGAAAACTGGAGCTTGCTTTTAGATCAATCGCTTCCATTTTCCTTTCTTCACTTTTAACATACACTGAAAGTTGTTTTAAAATCATACACTTTTACTCGTATACATTCGTGACACGGAAATTACATTCACCCTGGGGAATCAGTACATATCCACCTTGCCCCCCTCCTCCTCTCCCCCTCCCTCCTCTAGACCTCCTTCCCAGCTCCATAGTCTTTTTCTTTGTTTTTGGTCATGTTGCTCTTTTTTTGCTCTTCAACTATTTATATTTTTGGTTTCTTTTAAAACCTTCTTATGTTTAGATACAGATGTGAGCCATGTGGTATTGGGGTTAACAATATAAGCCTTACAGTCAGCCCAAGCTCAAAAGAAATCTGGAAAGTCCAACAAACTAGTAATATGATCTTGAACAAGCTGTTTTACCCCACTAGGCCTCAGTTTCATCATGTGTAAAATGGGGATACTGTAATAATAGCAGACAGTAAAGAGATCTGTTGGGGGAATGGAATGAGAAGGTATGAAGTCTATAGCATAATACTTGATGCTGAGTACTCCATAAATAGCATCTATAATTGATAATATTTTATTGATATGTTCAATAGTAGTCATAAGTAGTAGTATATTATCGCATTGTTATAAGTTTATAATTGTTTGCAATAATTATCTAGTCTTAACGAGTACCACACTAGAAGTTAGAAGTTCTGAGTGCTGCTGCCGGCTAGCTCTGTGTCTCGGCAACCTCCTAACCTCTCTGAGCCTCCATTCTCTCCCCTCACATCTGCCCGTCCATCAGCGTCACATGCTGTCCCTGTCTCCCTGGATTCTGATAAGGCATCTGAAGGAGAAGGCATGTCCGGACCCTCTTTCCGAGTACTGAAGTGCTGAAGAAGACGGGAAATGTGAGCCCCCCGAACCTGGGTCACGCGGCACAGAATAAAGTCCGAATGCACCCAGAGATGCTGTGTACAGAAGCAAGTGGGGAAAACACTGCCCTTGACGCCTCTACCCAGTCGGCCCCGTGCCTTGCAGACTCTGAGCCTTCCTCTCTTGTCTTGCTGCACTGAACACCTTCCTTACGCATGTGCCACATACATGAACATCCACACTAGAAGGAACCCCACACAATGCAAATGAAGACCCCGAGGAGTACCTCAGCACACTCCAGGCGGGCAGCCATCAAAGCTGATTAGCAAATTCACTTTTAAGCTGTGTAGCGAATCGGTCACCTACCAAGTAGCTGTCAGTAAATGATCTGAATTTGTGCCTTGCTAAGATCTGAGAATGGACCCCAGGGTCAATAACCCTTCAATCATACCAAGGAAGGAGTGACTCGTGGGAGCAAAAAGCTTCTGCATTCATGGCTATGTGCAAATGCAGTGCTGGGGCTTAGCTGGCGGGAACTGTACTGTGACACCAGTGCACCAATGCACCATCTCAGTAGGGTTTTAGAGCTCTGGCCTCTAAGGTTTAATTAGGACTGTCATCTTATGGAGCGCTCTCAGCAGCTCAGAGCTGGTGAGCCTCTCAATCAAGCACTTGGTACACTTCACAGAGAGACAAGGAAATTCCCGGCGTTTTAAAGAGACTCAGCCTGTCACCCAGTGTTTCTCTTTCAGGACTCTTATCTGAGACCCTTGTGGAAATGTCCAGAACTGACTAACTGTGCTTCCTCTGAGTGTCTGTAGCACACCTGACTCATGCCAGGTGTCTGTCCTTCCCAACTGCACGCGTAAGGAGCGCAGTGGGGTTGGACTCTCAGGCCAGGCCAAATGCCCATGGTCCACACCACATCCCCTCTCTGCAGGGCCTTCGGGGCACTTTTCTTCCAGTGACCGTGATGCACTTATCCGTTACATGGTTTTTCGTGCCTCCTTTTCTTCAACATCAGCAACTGTCTGTTCTGTGCCTTTCACAGAGTCACGTCTCAGAGATACAAAATTTCTGGCACCAGCATTCACCACGAGCACCCATTATCTCCCTGAAAGTAAGTAATGAGAATGAATCACGCATCACCCTCGCGAGGGCAAAGCTATTTAGTCATTGTCAGGCTTCATCTTTATAGGAATTAGTCAGAAGTATCCTTCTATATGCCCACCAGTAGAGTGTGAGTCGCAATCGCTGCTCAAGCTCTGATCAAGTCATCTTTTTAATTTTGATCACTCTAGCATTTAAAAAATGATGTCTCCATGAGGCTGTAGCTTGAATTTGCCTGATAAAGCATGTCTTAAAGGATCTTTTCACATGCTTATGAAGATTTGGATATACTCCTTGGTGAACTATCTGCTCGTGTCTTTTGACCATTTTAAAAACTGGATTGTAACTGCAGGGGCTCTTTATATATTTGACAATATATATCCCTTGTCACGCTCATGTGTCTTATACAATGAACAGTCAATACATTTTCCTAATGTTACCTTTGATGAGCAGAAATTGTTGATTTTGATTAAGCCCATTTTATTAGTTTTTCTTGGTGTTGTTAATTTTTATGCACTAATGGATTTCTGCCTACCAAAAGTCACAAGATCATTGTTTTATATTTTCTTCTATGAGCATCACATTTTTAGTTTTTACATTTAAGTCCATGATCAATCTCAAATGTCTTAACGTCATTTTTGTATTAAAGTTTTCATGTACTACTTTTAAACTCTCTCTGGCGTTTCATCCACGTATTTTTCTTTTCTATCGCAATAACCTGTCTTAATTACTATAGCTTTTTAATCACTTGTGACACCTTATGGGATAAGTCCCTCCCTCTGTTCTTCTTTGGGCAGATATTGGCTATTCTTGGCTCTTTGTACTTACATAAAAATTCTGCACTCACTTTTTAAATTCAAGTTGGAAATTTTCACACCAATGCAATTACTGTAAATATGAATTCTGAATTAGTAGGAGGGCAGGCTTGAATTTAAAAGCAGTTTTTCAAGGAATTCCATATTTTGTATAGAGCTCAGGCCAAAATAAAAATGTTGTCATATTGTTTTTGTACTGTAAGTGTGTTTTTCTGGAAGTCTCTTTCATTGAGTGCATAGCATTTCAGTGGTACTGAGTTTATAGGAAAGATCTCTGTATTAATTTTTCGGTGGCTTCTGAAAGAAATTAACTTAAATTTGATGGCAAAGCAACATCAATCTGTCCTCTCCAATGTCAATATAAGAAGTCTGCAATCACTTTCACTGAGCTAAGATCAGAGTGGCAGCACAACTGCGTAGGATCTGCAGGCTGTGGAGCAATAAGCCAGCCTCCAGAGCTACACGCCTTGGATTTCCTGTCCACTGGGCCATTTTCCTGCTTCTTCAATGCGAACAGAGCATCTGCCACTTTGCTCTACTTCCCTTAGCATTTGCCTTCTCTGTATGCAAATACCCCTCTCCTTCCCTCATAGAAGAAAATCTGTGGTTCCATGTGCGGCCCCTCCAGATTTTACACAATAATGTCCCTAGCTCAAGGTCTTTCCTTTAATCCCACCTGCAGAGTTATTTTTGCCATACAAGCTCGCATTCACAAGTTCCTGGACCTTGCGGCCATTACTCAATAGTCTGTCTTTTATAATCTTTAACTTGAATCAGGCTCAATGCCTTTGTGTATAACCCTAAAACTTCAATTCTTGTTGCCAAAACCAGTGATCCTTCCACTCATCTTCTTCTGACAAGGATACCACTTGGTGTGATCAACCCTCCGGCTCTCAGTTCTGTCTTCCCTTTCGGCCTGGATAGCATTTCCTTTAATGTTTTAGGTGCCCGGACCTTAACTTAAAGGATATCTTCTTACTTTTTCTAGGATTTGTAGAGGAAGGATTTTTAGGTTTTTTGCTTTGTTGTATTTCTGAAAATTGACACTGCTAGCTCATTCCCATATAGCTTTGGCTCCCTGCACTTCACTAAGAACTGTTCTCATCAAGATCACAAACATCTAAATATATCCCAATACCCCACAGACAGGCAGTTTCTGTCTGCATCCTACGTGAACTCACAATAGGATTCACCCCAGATGGCTATTTCCTGCTTCTTAAACACTTTTCTCTCTTGCCTTGTATGAGGTCATACTGTTTTGGTTCATTTATTTTTTTTCCTGCTTTTCAAGTTATTCTTACTCCTCCTCCCTGCAGTCTCCTCCTAGACCTGACCTAAGTGTCACTTCTCCAGGCAACATCATGTGCTGTTTATTTAATTAAGTACAGCTTTGGGGGACTGGAAATGCCTTCTGCCTGGATACCCAGTACACCCGAGTCTATGCTTCACAGTCTCCATTACCAAGAGGCAGCTTAGTAGCCTAAAGGAATTAATTAATATTTATCTCCTAACATCACGCAGTGAGAAAACAGGCAGAAAATTTTTCATATGTTTAAGTCTCTGAGGACAAAGTGCTAATGATATGCAAAGCTTATCCCAGACATCACTAAATTCATATTGAAGGAAGTTTCTCTGGCGGTAGGTACCTGTGAATACCTCAAATCATGTGCAGCCTTTGCTGAACATCAGCTAATTCATACTGCCCAAAGCATCAAAGTCTGATGATCTTTAAAAAACCAGTGTTTTAAGAAGCCCCAGGTCACACCTCTGCTGTCAGTTTGGTTCCTCCCTTTATCTTCTCCAATCTCACACAAAATCGCTCTCTTTCTCACTGGAGGTTCAGTTCCCTCCCACCTCCAAGGAGCGTGCCGGACTGAGACAGGGAACATTTCAGGAATTTTACTACTTCAACATTCTTCTCTTCTTCCCATTGGCTGGTTAAGAATTCAGTTGCCTAAAATCAAAACACTGAGGTTTCATCTCACTGCAGCAAGAATGGCTGTCATCAAGGATTCCAAAAACAAATGTTGGCGAGGTTGTTGGGGAAAAGAAATGCTTGTACATTGCTGGTGGGGATGTAAACTGGGGCAAGTACTATGGAAATCAGTGTGGAGATCCCTCAGAAAACTAACATTGGGGATTACAGTTGACCCAGCTTCCCCTGTCTGAGGTATCTTCCTGAAAGAGTTAAAGTCATCATGTTACAATGACACATGCATCTCCATGTCTACAGTGGCACAACTGTTCAGAGCAAAATCTTGGAAATGCCTTATATGCTCAACAACAGATGAGGGAAGAAAGAAGTACATATGCACAATGGAATGCTATTCAGTCATAAAGAAGGATAAGTTTGAATTATTAGTAGGAAAACAGATGCATTTTGAGACTATAATGTTAAGTGAAATAAATGAGACATGGAAGACTAAATATCACATGAGAAATGCAAAATACAAATAATTTAAGAACAAAATAAAAGAGAGATGGCAGGACATGGGGAGAAAGACTTTCTGGAGCTGGGAAGGGGCTCTGGGGAAGAACGCATAGGAGAGAGAGGGGAGGCGGGAGGAAGACGATCAGTGTGTAATATGTACATGTACCAGCACCCCAAGGTGAACAGAATTTTTCTGTATGGAAATCATATCTAATGAAAAAAACTAAACAAAAAAAGAATTTGGATGCCTGAAATCTCAAAATCTGATGCCTCAGTTACTGCTGCTGGGCTCTGATGTTGCTCCTCCAGGCCTGGGAGTGGTTTCTGCACTTTTCCTGCCTCTGCCCTCACACTCTCCGCAGACCTCACTAATATCTCTTCCCCATTCTGTACAAAGCAGCACTTACCAAAGACCGTGCGTGCAGGGACAGACTCTCTGTTGAGCCAGAAAGACACTTGGGAGAGAATGACAGTCATGATACATGGCAAATAGGTCTGGATCACAAAGTAGCCAATTTTTCTCTTGAGATGAAAGTGGGTTGTCATGACGACATATTCCCCTGGAGAAAGAGTAAAATTTGTCGGTAAGTAGTCATACAAACATCGCTAAAGCAAGTGTGCCTCAGTTTCAGTCCATGAGGTCCCTTCTTCTCTCATTTAACACAAGACACATTATTGGAGCCTCCCGTGCTCACATAACCAGAGGTCTTTAATAATTATGAAATAGTGTTCTTTTGGTGTGAAACACTAGCAGGCTGTACATGCAAACATCAAGTCAGCAGGTTTCTGGATTTGTCAGTACTATTTGGCCAAGTTGACTCCTCCATTCTCCTACAGTCACTCTTTTCACAGAAACTTCTAGAAACCAATATTCTTCTTGTCTCCGTTCTACTTCACTGCCCATTCCTCCCCAGCCACCTTTGCTGGCTCCTTTTTAATTTTTAGATGGTGCATGACATCCAGACTCAAGGCTTAGACTTTTCTGTCTGTCACACTTACTCCCTTGAGTTTTATCTCCAAACTGTGTCTTTAATATATTAAACTATGAAGTCTCCAGGGTATATCTTCTGACTGGACTTCTTACTTTTTGGGGTTGAATTGTGCCTAGAAAAACATGCAAATTACCCACCCATAGTACTTCAGAATGTGATCTTATTTAAAAGGATTATTGCAGATACAATTATAGTAATACCTCAGTTTAGAAATGCTTCTGTCCTCGAGTAATTCGGTTTACAAACAGAAGCATCTGCAAATTTTTTTTCTGTTGGTAAGCCCTGCACTGGGTGATGAATACAGTCATGGCCATCTTCCCCAGAATCATGGAAAGAATCAAGTTTGTGAACCAAGGCACCGCTGTGTGTAACATAAGGCCATCCGGAGAGAAGTGGGTCTTAATTCAATGTGACCGATATTCTCACAAGGGGAGACACAGAGAGCAAATGTGTCAGGAATGGCGGCAGCAGAGGATGGGCTGATGGATTCACTCTGCCAGCCCTCAGCAGCACCTAGGAAGAGGCAGCGGGCTGGCTGTCCCTCAGAGGCCCCAGAAAGAAGTAACCCTGCCAGGGTCTTAATTTCTGAATTTTGGCCGCCAGAGCTCAGAGACAATGAATTTCTGCTGGTTCAACTTCCCAGTGTGTGAAATCTTAGTAAAGGAGCCATAGAGTCCCCTACACACGTGCGTGCATGCACATGTACGTACACACACACACACACACACACACACACACACACACACACAGATAGATCATCTATTAGACATCATTGCTGTGGGATCTAATAGGCATCTTGTGACATGTTCAAACCTTGGCTTTTACTCTCCCACTCCCCTATCCTCCTCCAAACTGGTTCTGCCAATGGATTGCCCCATGTCAAAAAATAGTAGTTCTCAAGTACTTAAGCCAAAATCAAAATCCTCAGTGTCTTTCACATCATTCGCCCACCCTCTCTCTAGTGTGTATGTACACATGCACACACAAATAATTCCATCAGCCAACTCTTCGTGTGACTCTTCTTCGAAATATCCCCATCATTTTGGCCACTCTGACCAGCTTCCCGTCAGTCCCTGTGGCCTAGAGCGTGGTTCCAGCTTTCTTCCTGCTCCCCGTACTCTTGCCCTTGCTGCCTCTCCGCTGCATTCTTAGCCCAGCAGCCCAAGTGACCCAGTTAGAGGGAAAAATGATGAGAAAAGAAGGAAAAATGGAAGTAAAGCTTTTTTAATAACGAGGGGAAGGGGAGTTGAGAGGAGGGTACGGGAATGGGAGGAAAAAAAATGGAGTCATGTCACGTACAGGTAAATTCCCTATAATGAAAGTGATCATTGTGCATACCTAAAATGTACCAATAAACTTCATTAACAAGCAAACAAAAAAGCACCCTAATTAAAATCCTGTCTTTTATGTTGAAGATCTTCCAATGGCTTATTGTTTCTCTGAGACTAAAAGCCAAATTCCTCCAAATAATCTCCAAAAACACATGATATCCAACTGCTGGAATACTTATCAGATCTTAGATTTCACCTCTCTTCCCTACGCCCACATTCGGTTTTGGCAGGATTCCCAAATGAGGCAATCGAGTGAGGCAACTGCCTACTCTTCCCCCACCCACTCCCTTGTACCTAAGCCGAAGAAGCACCATCTGGCCACCGAGCTTAGCATCTAATCCGTATTCTGTGCGCGTTCGCATCTTGTTTACGTGGTCATGAGAGATACACATAGGGAACCTGTCATTTAGCACAGGATCTCGTATAAAAACGTGGACCGCTTTCTTCAGCACAACTTTGTATTCCTTTTTCCTTTCTGCTTTTCTTTCCGTCTCTCTCTTGTTCTCATCCACATTTACCTCCCTCTCTCCATCTCCTGCTCTGTTTCTCCCCACTCCAAAAGGATTGAGGACTCATCCTTCCTGACTTTCACTAGCTTGGACAAGTTTTCCCCTTCCTTGTCTTAATCTCCTAATTCTGAATGCCTATTAGTAGTGTGATCTCGAATCATATGAAATGTTTAATATATAAAATATAACACATCTGACTCATAAAGCAGCTGCATTCTGTGAACCTGAAAGGCACAGCATGCATGCTTGTCAAATTAACCATTTGTTTTGAATAAATGAATCTATTTTTCTTCATTCTTTTTCTTTCTTTCTTTCCTTGTCTCTCAGCCTTGCTGTTTCTGCTTCAAATAGGCAAAGAAAATTCGCCCTGTTGAGAACTGAAGCCTTTCACCTGGTTGGGGAGATTTCCTCTGTCCTTGCCCTTTTATTGGAGACCGTCTGTGTCCAAGGGGAAATAGTCAAAAGGAGAGTGAAAAGGCCCTTTTGTATATTCACAGGCATTCACAGCCTAGATAGTTTCTATGGTGAAAAATTACAATTGGACTTTTAGAAAGCCTCGCAAATTAATTCATTGTATCAGTTGACTGAATAGGTTCTTTAAAAAATACAACTCAGATATTTTTTATCTCTCTAAACTTCATCTCTACCAACATGAGAAATGATACTTGAATCACATTGGGAGATTTTTCCAACTTCTCTTGTCCTGTTTTCAGCCTTGCGAACCAGTTTATTAAGCTTATTAAGTACCATCTATGTTATGCGTGAAATATTCCAGGGTACAATATAAAACATAACACATAATGCATATGTAGTAACACAGTAGTTATCTATGGATCAGAAAGGCAGAATGGTTTAGCTGCTTGATGCTGCACACAGCAGTATATTTTCTGAATTCCTCTCCCTTCTTGGCCCTCTTGTGGCTTCTCTCTGTCTCTCATATTATGAAGCCTGACCCTTGAAGTGGTTTGGGGGTTTTCCCTTCTGCCTGTGCACTCCAGCTCCAGCCAGTTAAGCTCCATCTGTATTAAGTGTGAAATATTTGAGGTTACAATTGAAAACACATTCTCAGCCTAACTAGTTTCAAAGGTTGTGAAACACACAAGAGGAGTTTTAAAATAGCTTAGCAAATTAACTCATTTTACAAAGCAAGTGAATATATTTTCTTAAACCTATGTTTGGTATTTTTCCATTTCTCTAGCTCTGTTCATTCCTGTATATCTTACCTTCTGTATTTTTTTAAATTTACACCTCTCTGATCTCTTTCCACCCCTCCTGTTTTCTGTTTTATCTTTTTTTTAAACCTGTGCTACACATATCGAGGTTATACACACAATGACAACAATAATAAAACTGTCAGGCCAACAAGTGAAAAAATTTGGGGAATGATGGATAAATAAGAACATGCATTCTGAACTGTCCTCCTAGAAATTAATGCAATACAATAAAGGAAGATTGAATCTGGGCTGAAAATTGGAAATGGTTTCAACAAACAGCTGCAGATGTTGAAGATTCCCATTCATTTATTTCCACATATTTGAGTCTGGAGCAAAGTGCATGAGTTCTGTGCATGCAGCTGCCTTACGCCGAGAACTGACAACATTGAGAGAGAAAGCCAGTCATTCGAAACCCAGTTTCCCATTCATATTCTGACCTTTTATGGAGAAATATTGTCAGGCTTCAGAAGGGAATGCTCATAATTTATACTCACAGTGAAAACAAAATACATATATGTGAGACAATACTGTTGGCATGGTTCCTAAATCAAAAGGTAGAAAAAGCAGGCAGCAAAGCCTCTTGTGTCTCTTCCTAGAATATCTTATGTTCAGGACACAATAGAAGTGATACATGATGTCTATTCTATAGACATGCTGCTTTCAAAGCTGGCTTGAAAACATTTGTCTACATTAATCAAAACAATGTGGTACAAATATAGAAGAGAGATAACATGAATGAAAATAATAAATGTTGACTGGTGATGTAGCTCAGTGGTGGAGCAGTTGCCTCTATGAACAAAAGGCCCTGGGTTTAATGCCCAGGAAAGGAGAGAGACAGAGAGACAGAGAGAGAGACAGAGAGAGAGAGAGACAGAAAGACAGAGAGAGAGACAGAAGAATAAAGACATTTAGACATGAACCTATGTGTCTGAAAATGGGAGGATTCAGTGCATGATAAAGTAGCATCTTTTTCTTAATTTTCCTTTTTGTCTTTTTGAGATAAGATCTCACTATGCAGTTCAGGCTGAATTTGAACTCACTTGTAGCCAGGCTAGTGTCGAACTCACAACAATCCTCCCGCCTCAGCCTCTTGAGGGCTGAGACTACAGGCGTATGCCATCAAGCCTGATTTGTAGTATTTCTTATTTATTTATTTATTTATTTATTTATTGAGACAGGATCTCACTATGCACTTCAGGCTTGCTTGGAGCTCGCTTTGTAGCCCAGGCTGGTCTTGAACCCACAACAATCCTCCTGTTGCTGCCCGAGTGCTGGGATTACAGGCACATGCCACCTTGCCCGGCTTTAGCACTTTAAATCAATAACGAAAGACTAGTCACCAGTGAATACTGACTGGTACAGTAGGACACCTCGCCTCATAATGTAAATCAAAACAAATTCCAAATATAGTTGCAATGTAAATTTTTTAAACTGTAAACAAAAAATACCAAAATATATAGGTAAGATGTCAGAAGGAGAAAAACAAAAGGAGGGCACCAGTGAGTGGGAAGCCGTGCAACTGCAGGGGCTGGAGATCTCCGGAACAGAGGAGGGAAAGCAGGGAGGTTAGATCAAAGTCTGCATGTCGAATAGTTACGACCTCCACAGACACATGACTGAGAAAATGTCACTCTTCCAGGCCAAACACAGCGCAAGTGCTCACTGCAAGACACTGGAGAATCTTCCTGTAGAGACGGAGAGCAATTTCAGTGGATGATTAGCCCCTAGATAAGAAAGGAAATCCCTCAAAAGAGCATATTTACATATTTCTGCATGTCTGTAGAAATGTTCTTTGATGGTTGTCAACTTTAAAATCATCTACAGAGAAAATAATGAAGATTTAATTATAGGTATAGAACTATATTTGTTTCCTATCGATTAACAAATTTATTTTCTATACCTTTGAAGGTCAACACTCTAAAATGGGACTCCAGTGTTAAAATCAAGGTTTTTACATTTTAAAAATTAATGATACATAAGCATGGGAACTTTACACATTAATGAGGAAACATGTTGCTTTGTTATATGTATACGTGGGTGGGAGAGCTGCACTCTTTTCTGGCGGTTCTGGGGAAGAGGCCGCCTGCATTTGCTGGCTCGTGGCCCCATTTTCCATCTTTGAAACTGGCAGCTAAGCATGTTTAATCGTTTGCTTTCTGACTTTGGTCTTCCTGATTCTCCTTTACAAAACCACTTTGTAATTATGTTGGATTTATCTGTATGGTTCAGGATAATTTCTTCATTTTGAAATTGGCATACAGGGAAGACTGACTTCATCTGTAACCTTAATTTCCCTTTGCCATGTAATCTAACACATTTACCAATTCTGGGATTAGAACATGGATCTCTCTGGAAGGTTGTTTTCCTGTCTATATCAAAAACTAAATGTGCATTATAATCTGTTTTGACAGGGGAAAGAAAAATTTGATCTGGTAGCCATGGCAAGCAAGAAAGAGATGAGGATGTGAAGATGAAAGGTTGATAGGACAAAAAATAAAGGTAATTATTATAGCTAGCTATCACAATTTAGAATGAATATGAAAGAGCAGAAGGAGAGTAGGGCATAAATGAAGTGAGTTACACACTCACACGCATCATGTGGAGAGTTTATGCTTCATGTCTAAAGGTGAAAAATTAAGAAATAACAGCATAACTTCATTATTTATAATTATGGAGAGAACCACCAGAATTAAAACCTGGGGAGTAAAATCATTTATTATGTATAAGCCATGATTTCCTCACATAATAATACCAACCACCAAAGAGTGTTGCTAAAATTTTAAATGAGTTAATATGTGTCTGCAGGGCACAGATTTTTATGAATTGCATGCTTAAAAGTTCGTCAATTAATTCCATCAGCACATCCTTACAGTAGTCTGATTATTATCAAGAAAATGAAAAAGAGTATCCTGTTGCATTTGTCTGCTCAGGCTTTGAGAACAAAGGACTCCAAAGCGGGTAGGTTAAAACAAATCCAGCTTATTACCTGACAATTCTAGGGGCTAGAAAGCTGAAATTAAGGTAACAGCAGGTGTGTGTGTGTGTATGTGTGTGTATGTGCGTTCAATTCCCCCCTTTTCATGAGACAACAGTCATATTAGATTAGGGGCCACCTTACACAGTATGACCCCATCTTATCTAATTATATTTGCCATGACACTATTTCCAAATAAGATCACATTCTGAGGTATTTGGGTCAGAAATCCAACATGGTTTTTAGGGAGGCATAATTCAATCCATAATACCCATCTTGCCCGGGGTCACAGGAAACTGACGAGCTCATGCACTGATAATAGGTGTATGAATTCTTTAACCTTTCAGAACAGCAGTTTGTCAATATGTATTAAAATTTCAAAACTAGGTCTACCTTCTCAAACAGCAATCTCAATATTCTGTCTGCATTCTACACAGATAATTACATGGGAGCAGGATGCTGTATGAATGAGGAGGGTCTTCACAGTTTTGTTTATAGCATTAAAACAAAACATAGGAGTACATAATTGGCTAAATAGGTGATGATTAATATGCATGAGGCCATTAAAATGAAGGTGATGTTTTGCTAAATTTCACAGTGAAATGTTGTACTTCCCACTGACAATGACACACATATGGCTAAGTATTTTCAGGGCCTGGAGGAAGGTAATTTAATTTTTTTTCATTTAAAGCAACCAAAACAGTTAATAATGAATGTGCGTTAATTCTGATTGTTAACACATTGTTACTATATTTTGTGTTCCTTTATTTGGATCCTTTAGTGACACAAAAATGGGTTTTGACATAAAATTAAATAAAAGCAGTATATAAAATAGTGTTAGTGATATAGCTCCATTTATATTAAACATGTTTATATAAAATGGAAAGAGAATATTCTTAAACATCAAAATAGTCAATAGTTGATTAATGTACCAAAATATTCAAGGAATATTTTCTAGAAAGTGGAATTAAAGAGTACAGTTGTTTTTCTGTATCCCTGGAGGTTTAATTTCAGCAACTCTGGATAGCAAATCCATCACTGCTCAAGTCCCTTGCATGAAATGGCATAATTTTGCATAGAACGCATGGATATCCTCTTCTATACTTTACATTATCTCCAGATTGCTTCTAATATCTAATAGGAGGTAAATGGTATATAAATAACTTTCATACTGTATCATTTAGGGAATAATGACAAAGAAAAAGGCCTATAGATGTTTAGTGCAGATGACATTTTAAAAATCATGTTTTATTGCACACTTAGTAAGATACAGAAAGTTGACTCTATTTTAATTTCCAGTATTAATTCATCTATGTCTTCTTAATTTTCCTATCATGAATGTCATGTATTTCCCATTTAATTAAGATGGGACAGTGAGTTAACTGAGGAAAATGGGCCAATGATTGAGCTCAGTGGCATAAGTGCCTGCCTGGCAAGTTCAGGGTCCTGGGTTCGATTCCTTGTACCAAAAGAAGTTGATTTTAGATGGATAGTACAGGGGAGGGATGAGGATTTCTAAATCCTTTTTGTCCTTCAAATCCACTTTAGATGTTACCATCTTCAGGTACTCAACCCTGGTCCTAGGGTGTACACAGAACGGGACAGACAAGATTACATGCCGTAACATCTTGAGATAACAGTGTATGTCCAGGTAATGAAACTAAAGCACACGAGTACCCTGCTTCGTGTATAACTGTGGATCCTCAGAGAAAACTAATGCTGGAAGCTCCCATCTTCACACAACAAACTGGCTATGCAGCACGTGCCCCAAAATAGATCCCATTATGCCAAATACTCTAAACTTCACCTTCTTTAGGCTTCTAGAACTACTCGGTTTACAAATTGACAAGTTTTAAGGCCATGAAAGGCAAATCCAGTTCCATTTGTTTGTATTTAGGAATTAGCTATTGGGAAGACCTGGCAGGTTTTACCAAGCGATATATTTGTCTGAATGGGTGATCCATTTGAGAAAACAATGGCATGGCTAACACACAGCTGTGTGGTGAACTCAGATGGGATTATTAATATGCTGCCTCCACATGGCTGAGTTAAGCAAATGCCTTTATGAAATATTTAGGTTCAAATCTCTTCACTCCCACCACCACGTCTTCCCTCCCTGTTTTCTTTTCTACCATAACAACTTTGAACTTCTGTCCAATTCCCCAAGAAGCAGCAGGCATTGTGCTTAAGAGAGACCTAAGTCAATCTGCCTGCGTCGAATCTTGGCTCTGCCATTACATAATTGTGTTACGGGGAAATCTTTGAACATCTGTATGTCTGTTTCCTCATTAGAGCAGAACCTGCACTACATCATTGTTTCAAAGCACTTAGAATACTGAGTGCATGTGGTATAGTTTCTGCAAACATTTGTTGAATAAAATAAATAAATACCTGTACTAGACCGGATGATCTCTGTACCGACAACATGGCCCAACAGGTCATACTGATTCAGGCGAGATCCATCCTGCGCAACCTCCACAGACTTGTTCTTCCCAAGAGTCCAAGAATAAACCACTTCGGCAGTTGTGTAGGCATCTAAGACAGAGAAAGGTCAAGAAAGACAAACTGAAGAGAAAGGAAAATGATGGCCCGTAACACTCAACTGACATGAGATTTAAATATAGCTTCCTGCCCCTAGAAGATCCGAGTATATCTTGTATGTGGAATAGAAATCCATCCACTCTGCTAATACCCATTTAATGACTACTATTTTATATATCACAAACACAAAAATGAACTCAAAGTAGTCTCTCCCTCCAGTGTCTCACTGCCAATAACCTTTCCTTCTCTTAAAAGTTCAATGTAGGGTTGGGGAAGAATGACCACACGTAACCTCATGAAGAGGGCACACATGCAAATGCCTCCAGGGGCCAGATACTACCTCACAGGAGTGAATGAGGCTAGTCGCAAGGAGAGTAAAATGCGAGGAAAGTAATAAAATTTTCTTTAATTAATTATGGGGTGAGCACATGAGATAAAGAAAAAAAAACTCAGACTAGTGGTATTTTAAATTAAAGAATGAAAAACCCAAATTACTGACAGCAATAATTAATGATCATCATTTTCTTTCACAACTTGCTTATTATCATTCTGATGTGTGAGCCAAAAACTTGACAACTTTTCTTTTGCAACAGGCTGTTAGTATGAGATCTTATATTTGGAATTCCAATGTCAGTCTCTCAGAGGAGTAAGCTGATCACAATTGCTACTTTGTGCAGTGGCTTTCATATTTGAAAAGAGTAACCTGCTCTAATGTGAGCATCTGGAGCTATAAGGGGAAGCAAAACCACCACACTGCTCATCTCTGTCCTCCAAGGTTTGAGCTGTTTGTAGTTCACATCAGTAAGAGCGTCTCCAGCTCATGGTGCCAACTGCTATGCCCATAGTGTGCTCTCTTTAAACATCTTGCCCAAAGCTAATACTTCCTGGTGAATCTGCCAGTGAATGCATGTGAAATATTGGTTCTTAAAAATTCTGTAATGCTGTGTGTACATTTTATAATAAGTGTGACATTAGGAACACATCTCATAAATCGAACATCAGTGCTTTATAATACCAGCATACCCATAGTGATGCACTTCCATTATACAATTCAGGGCTTTTTTTTTTCCAATACAGCTAAGAAAGACAATTCTTGATTTGCTTATAATGGGCAACAGTCTCCTCCTCCCTCCCCAAATTTTTCATTCATATCAGAATTCTCCTTAACATCATGAAGGAAATATGTAACCCTATGTAGTTTATTCTGTGTTTTTATAAGATGTAAAAGAAAATTTCACAAAAAATTAACTTTTGTACATAATCTGCCATATGGTCTCAGTCATATCTTCAACATTAAAAAATTCTTCTTTGACATATCATTTATGATGTAATTGATAGATCATTTATAAATTGGCCTCTATAAAGTCTTTTGATGCCTGGGAAAGTATATGACTGAAAGTGTATTGCATTTTTTCAGCAGCAACACTTAATATATACATTCAGACACTAAACCCATTGAACTTTCAGTCTGCTTTATTTAGGATTCTGACTGTACACCTTGTCTATGGCCTTGTCTATGCAATAGTTGCCTCTTACCTGTGCTTTTGCTCAGTGTGGTCCCAAAATATTGATGGTAAATTTCAGAAAAATGCAATTATAAGTTTTAAACTGCATGCCATTCTGAGTAACATAATGGCAAATCATGCTGCTGCTATCCTTCCTGGTTGGGATGGTAATTATCCCGTTGTCCAGTGTATCCATGCTGCATACACTACTTGCGCAATTAGTCACTTAGTGGTCATCTCAGTTGTCAGCTGAAATGTCATAGTGTGCTGCTTCTGTTCTAATAAGCATCACATGGTACCAAACACTATGTTATAATGCCTGCATCCTTCACATCCTTACATCTTAACATCCTGTGTCCTTACATCATCTCACTACATGGGCAGTTCACATCATTGCAAAAAGAGTAAGTACAGGACAAGAAGAGACTTTGGGAGTGAGTCAGAGTGAGCGATCCTATTTACATAACTCTTACGCAGTATGTTGTAAGAACTGTTCTATTTTATTTTTAGTTATTGTTAATTTGTTATTGTCCCTAATTAATAAATGTTATCAGAGATGTAAATGCACAGGAAAAAACATTGTATATACACAGTTTGGTAATATCCACAGATTCAGCAAACCCCCCAAAGTCTTGGAACATATTCCTAACAGATAGGGGAGACTAATGAATACTAGTTTTGGTTTCTATGATGCTTGTATACTTTTGGTATCTGAAGTGTTGTTTTTCAACAAAAGCACACTTTGCACGCAGATTAAAAACATCAAAACATTTTTCATTTCTATAAGGAAATGCAAACTCTTCCGTCTGTTAGAAAATAAGACCATTTCTGGTTTTTAGTTTTTCTTCTAAATGATTGCTACAACTCTCAGAACTATTTCACATACATTCTGTTTCATTGTACTGGAAGCCCAGAATTGTAAGTAAGATAGGAGTGCAGATGAACTGATTAATGGCAAATGATATTGGGGCTCTTGTCTCATGGACAAAAGTAAATGGCAGAGCTTGTGAGAAACAGGCGAGTGTGTGCTAGTGTACAGGGGACAGCCACTAATCAGCCTCAGCTAATTGTGGTCATGGAAAATTTGAAATTGGTGTTGTCAGATCTTCTGATTTCATAAAATAATAAACAAATCTGGAGTCTTATGTGACATGTCCAAAATTTCAGATCTTGGCAGATAATTCAAGAAGTGATTAACAGTGTATATGCTGAGCATATTGCATCAACAGCTCCAATTTACAACCTCTGACCAAGAGACTTCCTCTCACAGATGGCTACGGAATCTTGTGATTCATTCTTGGAAACAAGCATCCTCTCCGGCTATGGTTTAGCTTGGACTTCCAGCTGGAAATATAACTCTTTAAACTATTATCACTAAGGAGAAAGACAACCCTTCTCAGGAATCTTCTCATGCACTATCTCTAATTTATTTTGATAGCATGTGAAGGATGTCACCATGCTATCAGTGAAATATGATTTCACAAGATACTTGTCCTCAAAGTGCACCCCATGCATTCAATCCTTAATAGATATGCTTGGGGTTCCTTACTCCTTGCACACAGAACCACCTAGATACTCTTTCCTAGCTTTGCTACGGAGTGCTTGTAACATTCCCCATTTAAAGGGAAAGGCAGTATTCCACCTAATCTACCCAAGAGTTTTGACAATGTTAAACAAAAAAAGTAGACTAAGTTTTTTGGGTAAAGGGTACACAAATGAAGCTTTTCTTTACCACTAAGAAATAAAAAAAAGTTTTGGGTAGGATTTCTGAAGTTAAACTGAGTACCCTCAACAGACATCCCTGAATGCTAGCCCTCAGAATCTTAGGAGATTCTGTGCGGGTGTGACAATAAATACACTGTGCAAATAAAGGTGCCTTAGAATTTTACTAGGCCTAGATGGCAAGTTGTTTTATGCCAAAGAATGTTTAATATCCTTGAAAAATAATATATGTGAACAGAGAATCTGTAGAAAAATACTCTCTCTCTAATATGGAAATCAAAGCAGAAAAATCACTAATGAAGGAAGAGAAGTAAGAAAGAGAAGTAAATTTTTCAAAAGCAGACCAAGGGCTTGGGTGTTGCTCCATGAGAGAGGATGTGCATAGCACATTGAAGACCCTGGGTTCTCCCACTCTGCCTCCATACAATAAAGCGAAGAAAACAAATTGAAAGATACTTGATTGAATGTTGCCATCAAACCAGCCATTGTACTGGCAAACAAATGGTAGTAAGACACCACAGGGCCTCAGCGGAGTGTGCACAATCTGTTGCAGGAGATAGAGCAGAACAGCTAGAGTGCGCTGCGGAGCCCTAGAGGAGTGCCTGAGAAAGATCACTTTCACTGCAGCATTAATGACTGTAGGGCAGGGTGCAGCTGAAGCCAAGCCAGCATCCACAAGGCCACCCAATACCAGGCTGAGTGACTTCTAGGGCTTCCTACTTAATACTAGGCAGTGGCTTGAACTGCATGAAACAGGAGATTTCAGAATTAGGCAAGTGTAAGTGGTAGCTTTTCATGATGGCCAAAAATGAAAAGAAAGAACTTGAAGTGTCCCAGATGACGCTAAGGTTCTACCTTGCCCAAGCACGTGAGTGATGATGGAATTCACTCACTCGCTGGGGAGCAGAATCCTTTGCTTTTTACCTTCCCTTTTTTCCTCTCCTTCCTCCATGCTCCTTTGCACCTCAGCTTTCCTCCACTAGGACTGGCATCTTCTCCTCTAATTACTCTACTTTCCTGGAAAGGATATCTATGAGACAATTAAAAACTTTATACGCCTGGAATGGTTCCCTCACTATATTTTCTATTGTTTATAATGATGTAAGTATCTCCTTGCCTCTCGCAGATGTCCCTAGTATTTGAAAGGCGATTGGGTGATGGCAGCTCTGTAGCTCGCTTGCCTTGAAGAGGAGGACGGCTGGGGGAAGTCACTGGGAGCAGAAAGGGAGTGCTCTTTCTTCCTGCTCCCCCCAACACTTCTTTCTCTACTTCTTGCTGCCATGGGGCGAGCAGCCTCTCCTCTGCAATGCCCTCCACCCTGACATTTCTGCCTTGGATCCATCCAACCCTTGGCTGAATCCCCCCCAACTGTGGGCCAAAAGACAACTCTCCTTATTTAAATTAGGGTGTCAGTTATTGTGTCCAGCAGTGGGCAAGTGATTAATACACTTTGCCTTTAGTTGCTTACCAAATATTTTCTTTTGTTACCTGAGCCTTGTTGTGTGACAGATGTCAGGAAAACTGGAGGTAAAAAAAATCCATCCACAGTAGCACCACTAAGAAAGCTTATCATTGAATTCACACTGTGAGAGACTGATTGTTTACTTGATTAGCTGATTCACTCACTCATTAACAAGAATTATGGCATCACATAGTAAGGTTTTAGAGGTCAGAGGGCAGTTGAGGCTAACACGTGGTCTAGCACGGAAAATGTTTCCTGTGTACTTAAGAATGATGTACATTCTAGCGTTGTTGGGTGGAGTGCTT